AACTTGATTAGCTCGGCTGCTTCTTGAGGGGGACTCGTGGAGCGAGCGTCAGTCAAGTTCGACCTCTTTGCGCTGTTGCCTCATGAGGTGTCTCATGGAGCATGCGCTCCGTAATTAAAAACAGTTTTGTTGGCGGAGTTGCTTCATGAGGGGACTCATGGAGTTTAATTGGACTTGATTAGCTCGGTGTTTCATGAGGGGACTCATGGAGCGAGCGTCATGGTTCCAGTTCGGCTTGGTCGGCGCTGACGCTTCAGGAGGGGGTCTCATGGAGCGTGCGTCGTGTAATTCATTCCCACGCTGGTTGCCCTGGTGCTTCACGAGGGGTTTCATGGAGTGGGGTATTCACCTTAATTACAGCTCAGTTGTTTGATGGGGGGACTCACGGAATGCGCGTTATACTTCCAGTTCGGCTGGGTCGGCGCTGTTGCTTCAGGAGGGGGTCTCATGAAGCGTGCGTCATGTAATTCACCTCGCCCTGTTTCTTCATGAGGGGTCTCATGGTGTGGTACTTCCCACTTGATTAGCTCGGTTGCTTCGCGCGGGGGACTCGTGGAGCGAGCATCAGTCAAGTTCGGCCTCGTTTGTGCTGTTGCCTCATGAGGGGTCTCATGGAGCGTGCGCTCTGGCATTAAAGTCGGCTTTGTTGGCACTGGACTTGATTATTGCTCCGTTGTTTCATGAGGGGACTCATGGAGGGAGTGTCATAGTCTACATTGTTGCCTCTTGTGGAGCGTGCGTTGTGGAAATCATTTCCGCACTTGTTGCACTGTGCTTCATGAGGGGTCGCACGCAGTGGTATATTCAAGTTGATTAGCTCGGCTGCTTCATGAGGGGGACTGGTGGAGCGAGCATCAGTCAAGTTCGACCTTTTTTTCACTGTGCCTCATGAAGGGTCTCATGGAGCGTGCGCTCTGTAATTAAAGCCGGTTTTGTTGGCACTGTTGCTTCATGAGGGGTCTCATGGAATCTCCATGGACTTGAGACTTGAGTTGCTCAGTTGATTCATGAGGGGCCTCATGGAGGGAGCGTCATATAGTTCAAGCTCGGCGGGGTCGGCGCTGTAAGCAAGGTCTCAGGGAGCGTGCGTTGTGTACTTAAATGCATGTCGACATTGGTTGCACTGTTGGCTCATGAGGGGTCTCGTGGTAGGGTACACTTTGCTTGATTGGCTCGGTGGCTTCATGAGGGGTACTTATGGAGCGAGCGTCATTCCAGTTCGACCTGGTTTGCGCTGTTGCCTCGACGGGTCTCATGGAGCGTGCGTTCTGAAGCTTAGCCTTTGGCTCGACTTGGTTGGCGCTCAAGTGCCATGCGGTCTCATGGAATATGCGTTTATAAACCAAGTTTCACTTGGCTGGCGCCGTTGCCTCATGAGGGGTCTCATGGCTTGTTCAGTTCACCTCGAACGACTCGGTCATTTCATGGCCAGACTCAGTTCATGAGGAATTTCAAACTGATGGAGACTGGATTGGATCCGTCCTTCCATGCATGAGGGGGCTCATGAAAGGAGCATCATCGTCTGTGTTCGACTTCGTTGCTGCTGTTGCTTCATGAGGGGTCTCGTGTGATCCGCGCAGTCGCTTCAAGTGCTCTCTCGGAGCGTTAATTCAATTTGGCCAGTGCTGTTCCTCCGGGTCAATCTCGAGTTATTCAATTTGACTCGGTTGGTGCGGTTACTTCATTGAGAGGACTCATGTTGCGAGCATCAGTTCCAGCTCCACTTGGTTGGCGCTGTCACTTCTTGAGGGGCCTTCGGAAGCGTGCTTTTTAATACCAAGTTGGTTTGTTCCGCGCTGTTGCTTCACGTGAGGCGTTTCATGGAACATGCGTGCACATTTCAAGTTCGACTTGTTTGGCGTTGTTGCTTCATGAGGTGTTTGGAGCGTGCGCTCACATATCAAGTTTGACTTGTTTGGCACTGTTGTTTCATGAGGGGACTCATGGACTGCGCATCCACAACGCTCGACTTGGTCGGCGGTGTTTGTTCATGAGGGGTCTCATGTGTTTTGCGCAATTGCTTCAGGTGCTTCAGGGCGTTTCCTGGAGCGCTGATTCAATATGGCTAGCGCTGTTCCTCCATGAAGGCTTTCCTGGTCCATTCCACGTGACTAGTTTGGGGCGGCTGCTTTATGAGGGGACTCATGGAGCGAGCATCAGTTCAGATCCCACTGGGCTGGCGCCGCTGCTTCTTGAAGGGCCTCATGGTGCGTACGTTCACATCCCAAGTTTGGCTTGGTCGCTGGTGTTGCTTCATGAGGTGTTTCATGGAGCGTGCGTTCACACATCAACTTCCACTTGGTTGGCGCTGTTGCTTCATGGGGTGTTCCATGGAGCGTGCGTCACATATCAAGCTTTACTTGTTTGTTGCGGTTGTTGTTCAAGTGGGGACTCATGGACCCAGCATCATAGTCCAAGCTCGGCGCTGTTTGTTCATGAGGGGTCTCCTGTGTTTTGTACAGTGGCTTCATGGGGTCTTGGAGTTTGGCCAGCGCTTTCATGGCTGATTTAATTTTGACTTGATGCGGTGCTTCATGAGGGGACTGATGGAGCGTGCGTCCGCTCAAGTTCCGCTGGATTGGGGTGCTGCTGCTTCATGGGGGTCTCATGAAGCGTGCGTTACAACACCAAGTTTGGGTTGCTCTGCTGCCTCATGCGAAATCTCCTGGGGCTGCGTTCGTATAGCAGGTTTAACTTGGTTGGTGCTATTGCTTCATGAGGAGCTTCATGGAGCGTACGTTCACTTTTCCAGCTCAACTTGTTTGGCGCTGTTGCTTCATGAGGTGTTTCAGGGAGCGTGCGTTCACATATCCCATTAGCGACTTCCTTGACACTGTTGGTCACGCGGGGAGTCATGGACTGAGCATCGTACTCCACGCTCGACTTGGTCGGCGGTCCCATATGTTGCACAGTTGCTCCAGGGATTCTCTTGGAGCGTTAATTCCATGTGGCCAGCGCTCTTATTGCTCCATGAAGGGTTTTCATGGTTCATTTATGATTTTGACTTGCTCGATTCGGTTGCTTCATGCTTCATGGGGCACGTGATTCGACTTGCTTGTTTGGTTACTGATGAGGAAACTCGCAGAGTGAGCGTCATAGTTCAAGTTTGCCTCATTCAAGAAACGGATGTTGCGAACATGGATGTATTGGGAATACATTCCGTCCAAAAGTAACTGGGCTGATGCAATTTCAAGGCTCGGTTGGTCCGATCCGTGGTGGCGAACCAACGGATTCACCTTGCCCGTTCTGTCTATGGCACCTACCGCTTCCAGCAGTGATTCGTGTCATGGAATTTCTCTAAGTGCGTTGGGTATGTTTTAAAGTGCATTGGAGTGGTTTCCGGAGTGACCGGAAGGATATCACAAAGGTCTGATTG